TCGGATTCCGGACGGGGCGCGGCCACCCTGCCCAGTCCTGGTCTCGTCCCCGCCGCCCCCCGCCCTAACACTGTCTGTGGTGCTGAAGGCTGAGCGCGCGGAGGGCGGGCTTAGGACGGAGCGGCGCCCGCCACTTCCAAAAACAGCGCGACAGAAACTGCCGGAGGGGGTGGGAAAGCTGGGGGCGGGGACGGGGGCGGCCAGCACCGGCACCGAGGGGACCTGGGGTGGTTTTGTCGCGCTGAAGGCCTGTTCCCCAAGTACTCCCACCCGGGGGCGTCAGGGAGACGGTGGGCGGTGGGGATGTCGGGAAGGGGAAGGAACAGGGCACCTGGGAGCGCCCTCTGTGCCACGTGCGTGGCTGACTCTCCAATCGACATGTCTCCCGACCGCCCGGGCCCTGCCCCCGCATCCCTCCTCTGGACCCACTAGCTCGGGACCAGGGCCTCTCTGACTCCTATAGCGTGGGAGAGCGAGGGATCCTGCCAATCAGACTGCAGTCACTCACCCTGCCAGCCCTAGGGACCCCTGGGGACCCCAGTCCTCCTCCCAACCAGTGGCCTGTCTCACCACGCCTACCTCTTCCTGCATCTATCCTGCAGTCCGGCAGAACAAGGCCCTAAAAGGTCTCAAGAGGAGGCCCTTGGGACACACAGGTGTTCTCCCTGGGGCTCCCTCTTCCCACAGACCCTTCTCTGAGCCTCCTGACTCCAGCTGAGCCTCGGGCCTGGGGGACAGACATGCCTCTGAGCCCCGATGACCAGGCCCAGTCTGGGCAGCAGAAGACTCTGGACACCATTCCTCCACAGCGTCTCCGAGGCTCTGTGGTGGACGCTGAGGTCTGTCCCGCTTCCTATGCCTGATGCACTAGGCGTTTGTGAGTGGGCCGCACACGTCCCTTCGGTGTTCATGGCGGCTCTGGCCTGGCCTGGCTCCCTGGGGTGGCCCCCCTCCTCCTCTTCCTTGCACACACACCCAGCAGCTACTGTCATTTCCATGGTGACAACAGCACAGAAACATGTGCCCCCTCCCCCCGCCGAAGCTCAACTGACCAGCCCAACCAGCTCCCCCTCCACTCCTCTGGACCCATGCCAGCCGAGGCGGAGACGGGTGGGGGGGGGCACTCAAAGCCCGCACCTTGCTCAGGCTGGACTCCCAGGCCCACTGCCCCTACTCGGTGCCCATTATCCTGCCCTCTCCAGCTCCCCACTCTGTTCCATCCAGCTTGGGAGCCCCTGGGACCAGTGCCATCACCCTCCCTGACCGCACCGCACCCCACCTCTGGTATTTGTGGGCCTGCTGTGGAGGACGGGTCTGGCTGGGCACAGGTGTCTTACAGGAGACTACCTGCTGGAGGGGGCCCCGAAGGTCCCCAGCACTGCCTGAAGAGTGAACGGGTAGAGGCCCCTCAGCGGTGGCAGTTAAGGAAGGACATTCAGCACTGGCCAGATGCCCTGGGAAGGGGAATGGCAGAGTGCAGAGGGGCAGGTGTGCCAGCCTGCTGCCCTTGCCCTGCCCACCTCCAGCTGCAGCCCCTGGGCCAGGTCAGAGGCTCGCTGGTTCGGTGGGGATATTCTGGGGCTGGCTGAAATGGGAATGGATCAATGCATGCAGAGCAGTGGCATTGGCCTCCATCTCCGAGGTAGCAGAGAGCTACAGGTAGGGATGGCAACAGGGCAGGGCGGGCACAGGATGAGGGGTGGGTGAAGGAGGTCAGGTTGTGAGGGAAACAAGCAGGGGCCAGATGGCCAGGGATGAGGGCAAGCCCCTCCCCTGGTGCCTGAGTATCCTGGGGCTCACCCGCCTTCATGCACCCTGTTGTCCCGGTGACACTGGAAATGGCAGGTAGGGACCAGTCAGCTCTGCTACAGGGCACCCAGGGCTGGAAAAGGCCCCGAGTTTCTGGAGGTCACAGGCATGGTCTCCTAGGCCCAGCTGAGACACTACAGATAAGTCCCTGGGCAGTGGGGGATATTTGGTGGGGGGCAGACTGCAGATTAGAATTAGTTGGGGGAGGGGCCCCACTGACCCTAGGAGGGTGGGTGGGGTGTATGCTGTATGCTGTAGCCACATCCCTAACACCCAGGCCTGTCACCCTGTTGGGCCCCATCCCAGACTTGCAGAGGGAGACCAGGACACCCCCTTATCTCTGCAGGGAGGGAGCAGAAGTGGTTTCTATTTTCATCCCCCAGCTGAGATGTCCACACACCACAGGGAGCCTGAGTAGGCTGGGGGAGCAGGAGGCAGAGCTGAGGGACAAAAAGCCCTCCCCTCTCCAGCTGGCTCCTCTCTGAGCAGCCTGAGGGGTGGTCCCTGGAGCCAGGCCTGTCCCCTGGACCTCTCCCTCTGGTGGCTGGCCCAGTCTGCACCTGTCCCTAGAGTGTACGGGGATGGAATGAGGTAGGATTTCTGAGAACCGACTTGCTGAAATCTGAGCAAATTCTCACTGTGGAAACTGCACACCTGCTGGGGAGGCACCAAGACTCTGGGCAGAAATCCTCAGACAGCTGGGACAGAGATCTGCCAGGTGCGGGAGGGGGTGCCCTGGACCCAGAGCTTCCAGGGGCCACGCTGACCAGCTGTGCCAACTGTCCTGGAGGGAGGGGGACCAGCTGTATGTCCAGCGTGGGAGCAGCCCCAGGCCAGCCCCTGCCATGGACAGATACAGGCTGTCAGCACAGCTGCACTGTATGGGGGAGGCCCTCAGCACCGCCAGCCTTGCTGCCCCATCTGGAAGGCGGGCACTGGGCCGAACCCCTGTGCGAGGCTAGGCCGTGGGACAGAGTGAGAGAACGGCAGAACTGGGAGCCCAGCCCAGAGGTGTACAGGGATGGAATGAGGTAGGATTTCTGAGAACCGACTTGCTGAAATCTGAGCAAATTCTCACTGTGGAAACTGCACACCTGCTGGGGAGGCACCAAGACTCTGGGTAGAAATCCTCAGACAGCTGGGACAGAGATCTGCCAGGTGCAGGAGGGGGTGCCCTGGACCCAGAGCTTCCAGGGGCCACGCTGACCAGCTGTGCCAACTGTCCTGGAGGGAGGGGGACCAGCTGTATGTCCAGCGTGGGAGCAGCCCCAGGCCAGCCCCTGCCATGGACAGATACAGGCTGTCAGCACAGCTGCACTGTATGGGGGAGGCCCTCAGCACCGCCAGCCTTGCTGCCCCATCTGGAAGGCGGGCACTGGGCCGAACCCCTGTGCGAGGCTAGGCCGTGGGACAGAGTGAGAGAACGGCAGAACTGGGAGCCCAGCCCAGAGGCTGGGATGGCCAGGGGTGCCATGCCACTTGCTCACCAAACTTCCCAAAGGTGATCTTGCAGAACCACCAGCCTGGCATCCTGCTGGCCCAGGAGGGTCTGAGTTGGGGTGGCCCCTGGGCCTGCCCCGGTGAGAGCTGGTTGTGCTGGGGGTTGGCTATTCATCTGGCTCAGGGGACTGCCATGTGGGGAGGGTGTCCCAGGTCCCAACCTGCTGAGGACCCGGGGTCTGCAAAGGTGTTGGGGGCAGAGAAGGCCCAAGGGCCTAAGACAGGGAGACTGGAAACAAAAGACACCGGGAGGGGCAGGTTGTTTTTTTTCCTTTTTATGAGATTTTTTTTGTTTTTGTTTAATATGAAAATTACTTGAAAAGACAAGGGGCCAACCCCGCCAGGCAGCTCGGCCGGCCACACCAATCCTAACATTCCAGGTGTAAGTTACAGAGCTCAAGTTCATCTACAAAAAAAGTAATAAAAATAAAATTTAAAATGGCACCTTCAACAGAACACAACAAAACCTTAGGGCCTGGCCCCCGGGCGAGAGGCCCCACAGCGCCAGGGCACAGGGCGGCTCCTCCTCTCTGCTCCAGCCAAACAGTAAACACAAAGCTAAAAACGACTCCTCGGCATTCTCGGAATAAGTTAAACCGCACTTTTCCTTGCCGGTGTGTCCGCCGGAGGAGCACGTTTCTCTGCGAGTGAGGGTGGGAGGTGGGCACTACCAAAACAGGGCGGGTGGGTGGCGCGAGTGCAACAGCTTGTTTCCTGGAGCTCCCATAACAGCACTGTAGACCAGGTGGCTTCAACAGCGGATGCCTCCTGTCCCAT